GTGTGTGTGTGTGTGTGTCAGTCATGTCATCAGACTGGTACCCCAACCTGGACTGGCTGAAGGAGAGCTGCCGCATCGCTACCAGCTACAACTGGGCTGACGTAGACCTCTCCCCATTCCAAGGTAACGCAAACACACAACTGCCATCAGTGTGGACAAATGAAATGAACACTGATAAAGCTGTCTACCGCGGCCCGCCTAAACACGGGGAAAATTGATAAAATGCGTATCATGTCGATCAGCTGCTTTGATTAAACCATTGTGATTCCTCTCTGTGCTTTCATATGCACTCGCCCTGAGGCTCAGTGTTATAATATCCAGTGTGGTAATAGTACTGCCCTAATAAAAGTCATTATCCTGCATCTGAGAGGTTCCCACTCTTATTCTCTCACACACGCACACACACACACACATAGACACACACAAGCTGTCTCGCTCCCTCCCAATTGTATGATGTGAATAATCCAATTAGGTCCCGGCTCAGTAACAGCCTCTTATCACGGTCAGCGCACAAAGCCGGCAACATCCACACGCGATTGATGACGACGGCTGGTCCTGTAGCTCACAGGCCGCTGCTGTCTCTCTCTCTCTCTCTCTACTTCTGCAACGCTTGACCTCTCTCACACCGCCGTAATGCCATCCTCTACTCTCTCTGGCTCATCTCCAAACAGCAGGGACCGAGCCTCTTGTCTCTGTCGGCGCCACATACGAGCCATACAAATGTGTTTTTGGGCAAAATATCCGTCTTCACGTTTGATAAATGGAAGCTTGAGCTTGTCTTATTTTGGAAGCGGTAAATACCAGAGGAGGTGATTTCAGTTCAGCGTCTTCTGCGTTGTTTTAAATGTGAACAGGCATCCCGTCAGAACAAAAGACGGTTTGTAGTTTCAAGGTTTTGAAACTTACGGTGACAGTAAACCGTAGTGAGATTCTTGTGCTGGATGTGTCCTCACGGTGATGGATGATAAATAATTTATTTCTTATTCAACCCGTGATTTGCTGACGCTGGTAAGAAAAAGTTCTGCAGAAGTTGTCTGGGAAAAGTCATGAAGGAGTGCATGTTTTTTTGCTGTAATGTTTAGCATGTAGAGTGACACATATTAAGGAGCAATATCACAAAAAAT